AATATCGTCTTCGTCGGAGGTCTGAAAGGGAATTGCAGGCAAATTATTTGTTAGTTTACACGACCAAACGCCTCATCAAACTTCCGTCATTTGAACTACGTCAAGACGCAACGTGCCGAAAAACAATCCAAAATGGATCCACTAATCTCTAGTCCACCGTGAAGTCAGTAGCCCGCACCGAAATGACGGGACATCACTGAGGTTTCCCAGTGTGTCGAAGACTTTATATAATGTGCGTTTTTAGTATCCAGAGTGAGTGTCCCGAGTGTCATTGAGGGTTTCCCAGTGTGCCAAGTATATACTGTGTGTTTTTAGTGTCCCGAGTGATGTCTCGTCACTTCGGTGCGGACTACTGACTTCATGGCGGAGTAAAGACCTCCGACCAAGACGATATTTGTTGAAACGTAAGGTTAATAGAGGTCCACCATAACACTTGGTTGGCAGAAGAGCATACACAAGACCATTTATTGTTTGTAAGAAAGGAAGGGAATATATCAACGGTTGTTCAACAACCCACAGATAGAGAGTAGATTTCATTCGCTATTAACTGCAAATCAGCATGCGTTTCTATCCGCTCTTCAACCCTTACTTGCCTTATAAGGTACGACTGCGCTTTAATTGCGTTTTATCCTTCTCTCTTTATGTGTTGGTGATATCGTAACTTAGGTCTGATGATGGTTTTATGAAAACCGAAACGTCACCAATAAAGCCTTGACGAGCTTTCTATTGACAACCTACTATCTAGGAAATAAATAATGGGAATGGTTAAGCACACTGCCGTGGCATACAGCGCGTATTGTGCAGTACACAACTGAGTTAGAAAGATGCGAGCATGCAAAACTTACATCATTCAGCTCCTCATCACTAAAGCGCACTCCTTTATGCTCTATTTTAGCCGTTTTCTTCTCCTCAGTATCTTGCTCTTCTGCCACAACTTCGAGGGTCTTCTCAAGAGGAAGAATCTGGAAAGTTTAGCATAATGAAAAAATCATTTCAAGCATCAATTTTCTTACCACTTCTTCCTCATTAATCTTGCTGAGTTTTCTTTCTCTTACAACATCTTCGATATGTGACTGCAAATCTTTTTCTCTGTCAGCTTTATTCAAACTCTTTAGGAGTTTTGTTCTTTCTTCCATTTTCAATGTTCTCTCGTAAGTATAATCGGAGATGTCAGAGTCAGGCTGAAAACATACATGATCCTGCAGAACACAAAAAAAAATTACAAAACTTACCATTTCAATAACGTAGACTTGTGCTTCTATTCGTAAATGATACAAGAATTTTTCAAGATCCGATTTCATTTGTACATTATTGTCCTGAAAATGCAAAGTACGGTAGGAGTACAGTATCACATTGAAAAAATGCGAAGGCACAATAGGGTATGACAAACAACTAAGTTCTGTCAT